GCAGGAAGATATAAGGCACGTAGTGTTGTGTCGTTATCGCTACACTTCATGAGTTTTTCTAACTCCTATAACTTCACTAGCGATACATGTATAAAGTTATTCTTTGTGTGTGGGCTGTACTTATAAAGACATTTTTTGCATTTCTATTAAGCCGGGATTTCCAGGGATTTTATTATTATTATTATTATTATTATTATTATTATTATTATTATTTTCTTTGATTTCTGGCGTTTACACATTTCTTTCCGGATCCCGCTCAGGGACCTAAGGTTAGAAATGACGTCATGACACTTACCACTGACAAAAAAAAAAAAAAGAAAAAAGAGAGAAAAAAATTAAATTACATAGATAAAGCACTTCGTAAGGTGTGGGCTGTACTTGTGAGAACAATTTTTTGTATCTCCTTGAGGCATGGACTTCCAGGAATCCCTTCAATTAGTCTACTGCAATCTTTTTCCAACCAGTCCTAGGGCTCCAACTACAACAGGGATTGTTGATGTTTCCATATGCCACATTTTCGAGATTTCTATTTCAAGGTCCTTGTACTTTGACAACTTTTTGAATATCTTCAAAGATACATTGCAGTCAGCAGGGACTGTCATATCAATAAGGAGGCATCGTTTTTGTTTGTGGTCTTTAATAACAATATCTGGCCGGTTGGCCTTGATTGTTCTGTCAGTGTGTATTGTGTAGTCCCATAGAATTGTAACAGGTCCTATCTCTGTAACCGGGTCTGGGTGGTGTTCATACTAGTTTTATTATTATTATTATTATTATTATTATTATTATTATTATTATTATTATTGACTTCTACGATTAAACCTTTAATCTGACAAGAAAGGGAAAAAGTATGCCGAATCAGTTCCTAATTCTGCAGCTAGAAATTGGTTCACTGCATCGTGCTAGACAAGTTTTCTCGCCCAAATCAGTCTGACATATTCATACGTGTACCATTCGTTCTTGCTTTGAATACTGACGTCACATCTGGTCTCATGCTCCTTCCCTATATTTAGAGATTCTTGATAAAATCCAAAGAAGAATCTGTAATGTTATTGCTTCTGACATGGCATCCCGGTTGCAGTCCCTTCCTCACCGCGCTAATATAACTTCCCTCTTCCTTTTCTATAAATATTTTCATGGTAAATTTTCCTATTGAACGTTTCGCACACAGTACTAGATGTGCGGTAACGTCTCATACCGTTACAATAGAAATGGCTAGATGTAACCGTAAGTTCTAGGCTAATCCTATCATTTATCGTAATTGTCGCTTGTAGAACTCTCACCCGGCTTCTTTCTGATTTTTTTATTGTCTTTTTTGGCGCATACACAAACATTCACACATAGTAAAACATATATATGTACAACATATGGTATATGCGTGTGCATACATACACTCATCCCAATTCTTACATTATGTTCTATGCTAACGGTTTCTTCTATCGTGTTTTTCACTTGTGAAACTGTTTTCTGTCTTGCATCCCAGTGAAGCTTGATCTTCAAAAGTTAAGCTTCAGTGTCAATCGCTATGTTCTGACTTCTTAATTATTGTTCTTTTATTATTCTCTCTACTTCTTTTCCTCGTATTTTTTAACACTCAGTATCACTCTTGCGTCTTAGTGGATTTATTGCCTTGGATGTGGTGCAATGATTAAAAAAGTATGAGAAAATCATTCACGAATAGAAAGTCCCTCTGAATCGAAATCAGCTGGTAAATTAGTTTTAAAAACGGCACGCAACATGAAAAATGTATGCGATTCTTCAAAATCCAGTCTGTGGTCACAAACCTTTGACTGAATAGAGTATATGGACACCGTTACTGGATTCAAATATTTTGAAATCTAGAACATGTACACAGTGGTAATTCATTTCTCCGAATGAGAAGAACAGTTAGTATTTTGATATTTTATTTATTGTTCCTCTGCTACGAGTCACTCATCTGCAGCTAATGAAAAAGCCGGTATAAACAGTTTACTTAGATTCGATACATAAGCTGACTAAAACACAATATTGCTTATAAATGTGAAATATTATATATATATATATATATATATATATATATATATATATATATATATATGCATCACTTTAATTCTCATTTGTATGGACAAAATATGAAATTAAATAAGTGAGTAATCATGAAGTAAATATATATATATATACATATATATATATATATTACTTTTTATAATTGTGTTTTTTAAATATGACTGACATTCATATTTTTTTAAATTCTCAATGTAAGCTCGACATCTGTTGCAGTAATGTTTCTTAAAAATATAAACATAAATACTAAAGAACTCGGATCATTAATCTAACTGTTCTTTCCTATTACATCAACACACACACACACACACACATATATATATATATATATATATATATATATATATATATATATATATATATATGTATATATAATATACATGTACATTTCTACAGGAAGTACACTAAGTGCATCTAAGTTCGTGTAAATAATCTTCATCGCAATGGTGATCGATATTTGTTTTGTGAGGAAAAATATCCACTCGTTGATGCTTCAATGTTCATGTGCTTCTTAACTGTTGCCGGCGCCAACATTTGTTGATTATACATCAATTTAAGCTAACCGACTTCGTCATGCGCTTTACATTCATACTTCTATTTTCAGGACGTTGGTGATCCTAGCTACCCACAGTGCTCTGTCTTTTGTAGCTCTCAATAAATTTTCTCTTTTTGTTATCACTCCTAAACCTAGATCAGCCATTCATAATTCAAGCCCTCTTTCCCCTAATATGGGCACTATAAATGTCAACTGTCTTCTGAATGGTCTCCTTGTTTAAGTTGGTCAATGTTGCTATAATACTTACCTTCAGTTTACCTTACCTTTTCCTTTTGTTCTTTCGCTCAACTCCGTCCCACACGTAATAATCAACGGGGTTGCAGTCTGGAGAGATAGGTGGCCAGATGTAAGCCGTGGTGTGCTAGCAGAAATTGCTTGATGGTCCTCATTGCATTCTCCTGCTTTTGTGGCATCGTGCAGAGTCTTGTTGCTAGATATAGGGTCTTCGAGCAGACACTCTCTTGACCCAAAGCAGCACTTCCTGCTATAGGCCACCGTGTTGAGTCTGAGGCCATCTGGGAAGATGAATGGAGGCATAACCTCATCGTCACTCCAAACACTTTCGTAATCTCAATTAGACTCATCCAATTCTTTTGTGGTGTTAAGTATAAGTGTACATTTTATTTCCATTTTCTTTCAAATTTTATCATTGCTTAACTTCATGCTGCTCATAACATCCTACTGTTGAACAAAATTTCTCTTGCTTTATGTTTTTTTCTTCCTATCTAATGAGCTTTTCCAGCATTCAGTGCCATATCGGATGATTTATATTACATAACGTTTCAATAAATATTCATTTGTTTCTACGTACAAGGTTTTCATCGACATTTCATCAACAAACACTAAAAACAAGCGGGATCTGTATCTTATAGCACTCCACAACATAATGCCAGCATTTGTACATGTGTGTTGTGAGCGAATACATTTTAAGAGATCGCTCCCCAGTGGGATGCAAACAATCATTATTGACAAAATTTGTGATGTCAGCTAACACTCGTTGTCATTTTTATGATGCCAAAGAATACTCGTTGGCATTTTTGTAATGCTGGTTGTAGTAGAGACTTTATAATCGCTGATACAACTTATACTAATTCGTTGAACAATGGTGGCGTCAAACGCCTTCGAATAGTACTAATAGTACTTGCTCGATAATACTCGCTCGAATAGTAATCCATATAGTGATCCGAAAAGAGAAATAGTATAGTGAATAGAGTAGGAATAGCGGTCCGTATAGTATTAGAGGATAGAATAGATATAGTGATCTGAATAGTAATAGAGGATAGACTAGAAATGCATATCAATTAGATGTCACGCGACCTTCTATTTATGCGTTTCCTCTAGGGTCACGTGGTCTACTTAATTCAATAATGGGATTGCCTGTGTTTGCTCACTGGCGATCTATGTTCAAACTCAAGTGTCGGCAGCGGCACTTTATTTCTGCATAACAAAAATTAAATTCGAATTAATGTGACCAGCTTATCTTCCCACACTCTGGGAACGTACATGATGATGTGGCTGAATTCTGGCAAGCAGCACGTGTACACGTAGTCGTGTGGCTTTTGAACGATAACCAGTAGTCCGGGTTTACATTCCTGGAATATTTTTATATCTCTGATTTGTACTGTGCAGGTCGATAGTCTGCCATTATTGCTTTTAAAACGACTCTTTTTTTTTGCGTTTTTAGTACTTGGTAGTCCAGGGCTTAGTAGCATTTTTAGTACTTGGTTGTCCAGGGCTTAGTAGCATTTTTAGTACTTGGTTGTCCAGGGCTTAGTAGCATTTTTAGTACTTGGCTGTCCATGGCTTAGTAGAATTTTTAGTATTTGGTTGTCCAGGGCTTAGTAGCATTTTTAGTACTTGGTTGTCCAGGGTTTAGTAGCATTTTTAGTACTTGGTTGTCCAGGGCTTAGTAGCATTTTTAGTACTTGGTTGTCCAGGGCTTAGTAGCATTTTTACTACGTGGTAGTTCAGGGCTTAGTAGCATTTTTACTACTTGGTAGTCCAGGGCTTAGTAGCATTTTGTATTTGGTGGTCCAGGGCTTAGTAGCATTTTTAGTACTTGGTTGTCCAGGGTTTAGTAGCATTTTTAGTACTTGGTTGTCCAGAGCTTAGTAGCATTTGTAGTACTTGGTTGTCCAGGGCTTAGTAGCATTTTGTATTTGGTGGTCCAGGGCTTAGTAGCATTTTTAGTACTTGGTTGTCCAGGGCTTAGTAGCATTTTTAGTACTTGGTTGTCCAGGGCTTAGTAGCATTTTTTCTACTTGGTAGTCCAGGGCTTAGTAGCATTTTTAGTAGTTGGTAGTCCAGGGCTTAGTAGCATTTTTAGTACTTGCTTGTCCAGGGCGTTATTTTTTTTTTTAAATTTGACAATTATTTAAAACATCAAAAGACACCTGGTCAATGGCCATATAACGGTGAAACATCGGTTCTTGTACGATCACCGAAATGAAGCAAGGTCGATCCTAATCAGTACCTGGATTGGTGACCATATGGGAATACCAGTTGCTGTAAACTTAAATGTGCGAGTGGTCCAATGGATAACGCCTCTGAATTGGAAATCGTACAGTCGAGTTTCATGCTGATTCGTTTTATTCACTTACGCGCAAATACCGTTGGGAAGGAACAAATCCACATCTCCCCCAAATATGGATTAAATAATAGGCCTTGTATTAGTAAATCATTATTATCTCAAAATAAATCTTACCATCTGAAAAGATATTTTCTGGCTTTAAATAACCTACAAGAGGTTGATAAGATGTAAAAAACGAATCAACCAATATTTGCTTCTACATTTCTCCACAAAAATTGCAAGTCGTCGATAGGTTTGTTATGCTATAGCCGAGGGTGTTACCAATTGTATCATAAGATTGTGTTGAAGGCATTTTAAATTAGGTTGTGCGTAATAAATTTAAAGGAACGTGTTAAGGCTTGTAAAGGGATGACTTCGGAAAGAAATCTATCGAACATTTAAAAAAGCGAAGGAATTAAACTTTTATATTAATATTTTCTATATATTTTGCATATATATTTCTATGAGGTCGATAGCAATCAAAGAAAATTTCATTTAGGAATGTAGAGACCTCTCAATAGCAGGGAAAGCTCTTCTATACTTAGTCACAGCGTGTTTTTATGTCACTGTGTGTCTGCAGGAAGCGCCACTTGGTGGTTTGAAATTAAGAATTTCAAACCACCACGGATTCTCGGATAATATCAACTCGGAAGAGAAAAGGTCCTCTTGTTGTTGCGTTTACATCTCGGATCAATAAAAAAAGCAGAATGAGAGGGTGAATTTTTACTTTTATCGTCCTAAACAAAACGAAATTTAGCGGGTGCCTTGGTAGACAAGGTGGGATGATCTCCATAATAACCTCTTGCCAAGACTCGAAACATGTATTTTACCAATATGTAAAAATGGCCTGCTCTTCGTAATGTATGGACGGCAGATTTGAACGGCATAGTTAAAACGTGAACTAATATATCAAACAAAAACGATTATTTGTACTGCTTATCAGTGGTGCTGTTAAATTCTTTAGTCTGTCAGGATGTAGCACGCTCTGAAAAATGTCCATAGTGTAATTCGTATTGAAATGACAAGCAGTGGGTTGATATCACTGTATGAACATTTGGTGACACAAAATTAACAGCTAGAAAATGAGTTGTGAATAATAGACTTGGGTCGATATTCAGGAAATTGATGTCGAATGAGTCAATAGCATTTTTCATGAGAACTTTTGAAGAGATCAGGAATTAATATCGATATTAAGAAGTTATTGTGTTATGTATATAATTAACCGAATATTGGCATATATTACTAGTTCTGATAAATTGTTACTTATATTTATTTTTCGAGTTGTTATTAAGTCTATACAATTGTTTAGAATTGACATTTGCTAGAAAAGTAAAGAAATAAACTTGCTAATATTTTGTTGTGTGTTTCACATAGATTTTCCCTGTGAAATGTGGCGAAAAATTTAACAAAGTTAACTGCATATTCAACGTTTCCCAAAGTTCTCCATAATTTCCCAAGTAGGTATTTACGGATATGACACCGTCATTTTCTCTTGTCTAGTAGCAAATCCGTCAGATCTGACAAAGTAAACCTGGCAGCTGCTCTTGAAAAGGAATTTCAGTCAATGGTGAACTGGGGCTTGTAAATTTGAACACTTGCAAACAAAACAGATAAACTTTTCTTCCTGCCCTCAAGATAGCTGATGCTAAACTACATCGAAACAATCGATGCATCAACTGCATGGAAAATTGGGTCATTGTTTCTTGTCAAAAATATCTTCTCGTCAGAGTCCATTTTCAGTCATTTAGTTATGTGCCATGCGTGATACACGCTTAGGCGATCATATATCTTTCGATACATGACTGACGAGGCAGATTTTTTTTCCCGAAGTAGCTTGCCATTTCTTTCTGCGGTAGACCAGTTGCCATCCAATGCTATAGAACCCGGTCTGCTCTGCTATTTAACCATAGCTGTTGGGAGAAAAATAGGATTCATACCTTTTGCAAAGGTATTAGCACGTAAGTGAATGTAATGGATTCGCCTAGAAAGACGGCCAGTCAGTTATGTGCCATGCGTGATACATGCTTAGGCGATCATATATCTTTTGATACATGACTGACGAGGCAGATTTTTTTTCCCGAAGTAGTTTGCCATTTCTTTCTGCGGTAGACCAGTTGCCATCCAATGCTACAGAACACGGTCTGCACTGCTAATTACCTATAGCTCGTTGGAGAAGAATAGGATTCATACCTTTTCCAAGGGTATTAGCAAGTGAATGCAATGGATTCGACTGGAATTCGAACTCGTCTCTCTGATTCCTCAATACGAGCCACTATCTATTACTCCACCTATAAATGTCCACTTTTCATATTTATAGATCTACAATTCATCAGAGCTTTGAATACTGTCGCCATATCTAGTTTGGTGCTGCTGCTAGAGATTTTTGGCAAAATCCAAAGAAGAATCTGTAATGTAATCGATCCCGACCAGGCATCTCGACTTTTCTCAGCGACGTGACGTGGCTTCTCTCTGAATGTTCTACAAATATTTTCATTGCAACTCTTCTGACGAGCTTTTGACCCTACTACATGAATTTAAGCGTGCTACTAGATTGGCATCTAGGTTCCACCATTTTACTGTTGAAATAGTTAAATACTACCGCCAATTTTATTCCAACAGTTTATTTTCCTGCACTTCCCATCCGTGGAACACTCATCCATTTCTATGATTTCCTTATAAATACAATCTTCAAAAAATTTAAATGCAAAGTCATTGTCATATTCTGTCTTCTTAAAACCCGTTGATCTTTTGTCTTTTTCTCAATCTTCCCTATTCTAAGTCTCTTTAAATTTCATGCCCTGTAAACCTCTTCGTGTTAGTGGCATTCCCGCCTTGCTTAGATTGAAAGGATGAAAACAAAAATAAAGCAAGTATTAAGAAAGTAGAAAATTTCATTAAAAATAAAGAAAACAGTAGTGACCTATTAGTAATGTCAGTCCTCATATATGACAGTGAATGCTGGACAATCTTCTCGCAGATGAAGAAGAAACGAGAAGAAGTAGAAATTTGGTGCTACAGAAGGAATCTGAAAATACCATGGACTTGACATGTGAGTAACGACGAAGTTTTCGATAAAATGGAAACAAAATAAACTCTAATACTTAATGTCAAAAAGAGACAGTTGAAATGTCTATGTCACTATTAAGGGAAGGGAGTTAGGAAAATTTGACACTCACAAGACATATTGAATGTAAGAGCAACAGAATGAAAAAAAATGACCAAACGTTTCTTAATTCCGCATTATCTACTATCCATTCTCAAGAATGTTTCTTTTTTTTGTTATTGTATTACCACAATAAATACTGTGCAACTGCTAGTTTAGATGATATAAAAATTGCTGAAAGTGGTCATGTTCTTCAATACCAAACACATCGCTTTTGATAAACAATCAATCCTTGATAAAATCAGCTGTGAACACGGCCACCCTGAACACGGCCAGTGAGGATCTATCTCTCTCTCTCTCTCTCTCTCTATATATATATATATATATATATATATATATATATATATATATATATATATTTCTTTGAGAAAATGCAGACGAAAATAATACCTCCGCATTTCCGACCATTATCAATTTTTGACATATTTCTTTCAACTTTCCACATGTTGGGATTTATCAACCAAGCCAAGACGCATAGAAATATTTCTTGTGTAAGGATTATAGCGTATAGAAACAATCAGTTGTCGCTTATGATGCTTTTAAACGGAAACTAGGCGAGAAACTGATTATCAGTATCGAAACATTTTCGCTAGAATGATGACCCTCGAAATGCACTGTAATTAAAGAAATACATAGGCTTCAAATAACATATGACCTAGCCAAAATGCAAATATGTTTGATGAGAAGTTTTATATCTTTGTAAATATTAACGGGGGCGGATATCTAAAGTAATAATAGATTCTGCTCAAACTTCGCATTAACAACTTACTAACGTCTTCTTGTAATGTCCTGATATTATGATAAAGCTACGTCTGCTGAATACTTAAGCAGTTAGTTAAGATATGAAGTTAAAAATATTACGACACTTGGCTTGTTATCATTTTAGTCTGACTGTGAGTTTTCGAAGTTCACAATGACTAACTCAGGTGACGGTGATGTTGAGAAAAGAGATATCTTTCATATGGTCCGTTTGCCCATGCGTAAACATTTGAAAAGCAAAATTGAATATTAATAGAGATTATATTCAGGAATGACGGCTAATGAGATTACTGTATTGTAAGAGAGGGAAGAAAAAGACAAAAATCATAGAACCAAGAAAAGGAAAAACAACAAAATCCTAAAGGGCAAATATACAAGAAACACTGAAAAAATACAATATTTTATTTAAAGAAACCAAAAAAAGAAAACTCGTTTAAACGCCGGCTCCTGTACAACGTTAAGCAACGAGACTGGTCATTACCTAGATGGGTGACCTCTTGGCAAAACCAATAAGATACAAATATCTTTTTAACCAATGTATTGTACTGATGTGATTAATTTTCATCATTTTTTTTTCAACTAACACCTGAAAAATTCTTTATGAATGATAAATTAAATATCTAGTATTACTTTTAGATTTTTAAAAATACCCGGTATGAATTATTAATATATTGTTATGGGGTCCTCCCCTTTTTCATATAAGTGGACTCGACCAGAGTGTGACTTGGACTGCTGTCGTTAAATACCCAGAGTCAGAATAGAGAGAGATTGGGAGAGTGAGCAGAGATTGTGATCGAGTTGGAGGTAGAGTAATAGTGTGAGGTAACTGCTTGTAGAAGTCAGTTACAAGCACGGAGACTCTAAGGAAGTCCTATTTCGAGACTCTCTCTCTCAGAATAACAGAATTACCCTTTGTATTATTGTGTAAATACATTTAAGTTCTTATCTTTATTTCTTGCGTTTGTCATTCATTGGAGAGCGAATTTCATCTCGGGATCCACAATATATAATAAAATAATC